GGGGGGGGGGGAGGACGGACACACACGATAGGAAAGAGACCGCGTCACCAGCGTGAATCGGAGCTCGGCGTAAACCTAGACATGAGCAGAGTCTTGGTCCCAGCACTGGGGATGGTTCAGACCAGATCATCCTGTGATGGAGGCAGACGGTCTGTACACTGGCGGAAGGGGGGCATCATGGCCTTGGTCATCAGACGTCTATAGCACTCTCTGGTTGTAACAATCAAAACTGTCTACAGATATTACTAAATGTCCCCTGAGGACGGAATCGCCCCTGGCTGAGACTCACTCACTGCCTTAGCTGGGATCGAGAGATGGTCTAGTGGTTACGTGACACCTCACAGTTCACATATTTGTGCCTTTGGGTGGAGACGGACTTTTTGACATTGCCCTGAATGGGAGAGGACTGGGTGGCGTGAGGAAGGGAGGGAGTAGGTTGTAAACAGCTTCGTCACGTGGTTCATCTCCACTGTCAACTTGATGATTTGGAACCACAGAGGACATGCACCTCAGGCAGGGTTACAAGCCTTTCCCATTTCTTTTATGTCCCTGTGATAAAATTCTCTGACATTACAAGGCAAGGGAGACAGGGCTCGCCCTGGGGCAGCCTGTGGCTAGCTGAAGAGGTGGAAGGCGCGAGAGACAGGTGGGCATGCGCTAGCGCTCTGAATGCACGTGCGCTAGCGCTCAGTGTGCTTTGTTCCTAGGATACAGCCTAGGATCCCTGCTTAGAGAAGGAGCTGGCCCACAATTAAGGCAAAGGTTCGTGTTGATTTACATAAGGTGATCCCCAAGCCAAGAGGCCCTCCTCCCAGGTGGTGAGTCCGTCAAGTTGGCTACTAACAATAACCATTACAGGAAGGGCAGAAGGAGGAAGCCTGAAGGGTGCCAGCGTCTCTGCCTTCTGACCCACACTGATGTGAGCTCTGGCTGCCATGCCTCTCCTGACGGGGTGGACTGACTACCATGGGAAATCCATCCATCTGTAAGTCTCCTGGTTGGGAATTTGGTCACAGACACAAGAAAATAAGGAATATACTTTGTGTCTAGAGGGAAAAGGTTTCGGTAGGGTCTGTAAATACGGCCTTTTACATCTATTCTTTTCTACCTCTTACGCTCAGGCTTTTGTCTTTCACCAAGAGTGAAAACATGTCCATTCCACACACAGCCATAAACTGAAGGTCAGCAGTTGAAGGAACAGAGAGGAAAAATGTAAATTATTCATAATGCTGTTCTGGGAGGCTGTATACAGTGCATTATAAGGCTTTATAATGTATAAGCACATTTCAAATGGGTTTTAGTATTTTGAACAATAAAATAAAAGTGATTTATAGTTTTTAAAAGTTATTTTTAGAAATTAACATGTACATTTCTAAGTAACTCATTGTTCATAGGAAAAATATTTAAAATATATGGGAATGTAATCAGAATTAAATGTCCACATCAAAGCTACAAGGTACAGCTACAACAGCAGTCTGAAGCGCTGGTATTAGAAAATGCTATGAAACCCAGTGAACTAAGTAAGAACCTGGGATAATAATAGGAAAAAGTCAGGGGAAATTAAATGAAAGAAGAAAAAGGGCAAAGGCAAAAGATAATGATAAATAAAAAAACGCTGTGACAGACAAAGTCTAAAGGTGACGCTGAAAGCTGACGCTGCTGTGAAGGTGCTGGCTGCCCTGCAGAGGACCGGGATGCAGTTCCCCACAGCCTCATGGGAGCTCGTGACTGGCCATACTCCAGTTGCAGGGGCTCATCTGGCCTTCATGGGCACCAGGCATGTGGTGCACATTCATGCCAGTAAAATACTCAAATACATGATAGAAAGTGAAAAAAAAATTAAATGACATTTCATCTCCATAAAACTGCTGCTAAAGTGTAAGTGTGCATGTACATGTGTGCCCAAGTGTGTGTGCATATATGTACATACATGTACAATACATGCCTATGAACATGCCATGCTGTATGGACACAGGTCAGTGGACAACTTTCCCACCCTGCACTCTGAGCAAAAGAGTCACTAAGTTCATTAAATCAGCTGTGCCTGCTTGCAGACACCAACCTGCAGGTGAGGGGCCGAGGAGAGTCACGGAACCCTGGTGTGGGACTCCAGCCACTCCTGGCCATTTGTATGTAATTCTACCCTAACTGTTCAAGGTCCCAGCATGGTGCGGTGGGGTGTGTCTTGGGAAGTGCTAGAGTATATAACTGGGGAAGGCTAACTCAAGGAGCGGACTCTCCCCAGATCTAGGGAATCTGCCATCCAGCTTTTCACATGGGTTCCAGGAATCAATATTGGATCGCCAGGCTTGTGTAGCTGAGTCGCCTTTGTCAGCCCAAAGTTGTACCTCTTTGATAATTAATAAAATTGCTGGGCATGGCCACTCATGCCCACAACGTTGGCAGTTCAAAGGCTGGGGCAGGAGTACTGCCATGAGTTTGAGGCCATCGTGAACTACAGAATGAGACTGCACTTCAAAGCAGCACCACAAACCCCCAAAGAATCGAAATGAAAGCTATGAGATTTGCGAGGTAACGCAGCAGGGAGAGCATTCACTGCACAAGTCTGGTGACCTGAGTTCCATCCCTGGGACCCCGCCCAGGCCAGCCAGAGCTAGTGAGGCCCTCTGTGGATGACAGAGGTGGGGAAGGAAGTACGAGACCCCATCACTGTGCTCAGCAGAGAGGACTGGAGCATTTTTGCATTTTGATATATTGCAAGTGGTAGTTCCAGAACCAATTCCTGGCAGGCACCGAGGGACTGCCAAATAAATATCTTAAATTAGATTTTGTACATTTCTAGTAATAAGCACACTTTCATTCAGTTTAGACATGGGTCCCATATCGTATTGCTTTTTTATCCCCAAATTATTTTTATTTTATTTTGAGACAGGGACTTACTATACACCTTAGCAGGCCTGAAGCTTGCTATGTAGGCCAGGCTGGCCTCGAACTCAAAGTCCTGCCTGCCTCTGCCTCCTGAGTGCACCTGTCCCTGCATTATCATTTTCAAGAGGCTCAGAGTATAGTTATGTACTCTAGAACCCTGAGTTCCGCCATTTGTTTCCTGCTCCTCAGACATGTCTTTCAGATTTGAAGTCTGAGCAAACTTTGCACCCACCCAAATTATGTCACTACCAAAAGGACACCAAGGCTCCTGGTGCACATGGTGAAAACCAATGTTCAAGACTGACTCAGTAATTTTGGTGGGAGGAGGAGCAGAGTTGGTTTCCAGAACATTCTATCAGCAAAGACTGTGAGGGGCGTTTACCTTGCCAGCGGCAAACAAGTGGCAGCCTTTGACAGCTTCAAACACACTGGGGGAGATGTCGGGCTGGGCGGGAAGGTGTGACTGTGCCAACGACTGCTTCACCTTCTTCACGTCTACCAGACAGAGGGCCCGCTCTTCCCCTGAGGAAAGCAAGAGGGGGAGGCCATAAATGCCACCGAAGACAACTTGAGTACCCACGATCAGAAAGCACAGGAGCTCTGAGGAGGAACCAGGGGCGCCCTTTATCCCAGACGAGTGGGGCAGAAGGGGCTTCTGACTTCGGAATATCTGTATATATGGAAATACCTTGAGGATAGGGTCCAACTCTCCATACAAAGTTCTGCTATGTGCCACAGCCCTCTTAGAACCTACAGTCAACTTTATACAGTAGTGTGGGGGAAAAGGGGTGTTGTCCTGAGTTTTGACAGAGACCAATCAAATGAGATAAGTAGGGACTTTTCCATCGGTAACACCATGGTGACACCCAAAGATTCAGACAGAGGAACATTTTTGGATGCTCAGATAAAGAGCACACTTGACCTGTTCATCATCTCAGCCGGGCTTTAGACCGGAAATGTAAGCAGCTGATTTTCTTGGTTCAGCTTCTTGGGGAATAGATAAATTTTTGCAGGCATGAAACTGAAGCATGTTGGCTGAATTTCAGGCAAACTCCAAGAACATGGAAGAAAGAATGTGTTAGGGAACCATGAGGGGATCCACGTTGTGAGAGACAAAGGGAGCAGCGAGAACCAATCACGATGGTGGGCACGGGCACTGCCCGCTATCCTGGCCCTCAGGAGGGGAGGCAGGAGGACTGGAATTTCAAGGTCACTCTAAAAAATTCAAGGCCAGCCTGAGATACCTAGCTCAACTTTTTTTTTTTTTTTTTTTTTTTTTTTAAAGACAACGTTTAAACCAGGTAGTGGTGGCAACACACGCCTTTAACCCCAGCATTTGGGAGGCAGAGGTAGGCAAATCTCTGAGTTCGAGGCCAGCCTGTAAGTTCCAGGACAGCCAGAGCTATAAACAGTTTCCAGACCCTGTCTTGGAAACAAACAAACAAACAAAATTGAAAAGCAAGGTCGCTCTGAGTGTCCTGGCTATCTCTAGATCAGGCTGCCTACCTTTGCCTCCCAAGAGTTGGGATTAAAGATGTACACCACCACTCCCCACTACCCATGTCAAAAATTAAAATAAACAAACAAACAAATAAATAAATAAAACTCCTGTCAACAAGTAATGAAGTTCAAAGAATAAAAGATGCTGCACTGACGTGGACAGAACGGCCCCGGCTCACGGGTTCACAGGCTGATGAATGAGGCAGGGACATTCCTACATTAACTCAGATGGTAAAATGGGCATATATGCAGAGAGGAGAAGAAGTGTGAAATGTGTTGGGTGAACCCAGAGGAAGGGTTTGAGCGTTCATAAACATAAGTAGGATCTTGTAGCCACGTCACGATCATGTGCAGGAGGCAAGCTCTCGGGAGGGAATGGCCTACAGCAGGGCCGAGGCAACTAGAACACAGGGACTGCGGGCCGGCGTAATGAAATATTCCCAGAATTCCTCTGCTTGGGAAAGAGAGGATGGGGAGTCCAAGGTCAGCCCGGGCTTCCTGAGACCCTATCTAAAAAGAACAACCAAGTTTGACTTTAACCAGTCTTTGAGGCCATGGGCACTGCACTCATAGGGCGCACATACATACATGTGGGCAAACACACACACACAATTAACCAGGTAGGTCCAGTGTCTGAGGGAGGTCTTGGGTTTCAGAAGGCAGCTCCCTGGAGTCCGTGAGAGCTCTTGCCCCTGCCATGCTAGCTGCATGAAGTGATGCAGCCAAGGAGAAGTTTGCACCACGCCAGCACGATGCCACATGGACTTTTGAACCTCCAGAGTTGTGGGGTAAACAAACCTCTTTTCTTCATCAGTCGCCTGGTCTCAGGTACCTCATGACAGCAATGAAAACTAATTCAGCATCCTCCACTGGGCAGAATGGCACAGTGCTCCTTGAGAGTGCCAGACTAAGCTAAACTGGACACTGAGGGGGAACCAAATGTGGACAAAGGGCTCATCAGCCGAGTCACACGGAAGAGGGGCACTGCTGGTTCAGTCCACTGCCAAGGGCTGCCTCTGCACATCTCCGGGTTGAAAGGTAGATCTCCAAGCACTGTCCAAGACAGAGAGGCTGTGACCAGGTCACCCACCTGCTATCATGAGCAGCTTCTCCAGGTCCTTGATGATGTAAATTTGGAAGACGGCTCCAATTCCTGGGATGTGAGTTAAGGAGTTTTTCAAGACATTTAGTGCATAGAGCCCTTCCTCGGTGCCCACCAGCACCACCTGCCGGGGTGAAGTCCAGAGACAGAGTATAAGTCACGTGACCACAGATATAATCGCTGTGCTTAGCAGCAACAAAGCCGACCCCCTCCCCATGCATCCTGACAGTGTGTGATTGTGGCCAGTCCCTGGGACAGGGCCCAGGCATCGTACCTGGTCGCTGAAGGGCAGGGTACAGTTCATGTCAAGTCGGTCATCACCTTCCAGTTTCAGCAGAGAGTTTCCAAGTAATTTCTGTCCATGTGTGAGGGGAAAATAGAAAAGAGGAGACAGAGGAGTAAGAACCGTCTACAACCAAACCATCCAGAGACAGAAGCACACGCTGGTCCAGAGCCTCACACGTGCCAGGCCAAGTACTCGACAGCTGAGCCACAACCCCAAGCTCTGGCCCCATCTTTTGACTGAAGCCCCAGAGGCAAAATGGTTTTGTTGGTTTTTCCAGGGCAGCTGTTAATTAGCTTCAGAGTCACCACACTGTGCAGACACACAGGAGAGGGGGACGTAGGCACAGAAGGCTGTTCTGCGATGGGAAATAAGATAAAGCTGTGTAGGGTTAGAGGGTTACCAAGCTGTTAGGAAGGCCCCTTCCCCACCTCAGCTGCAACAGAACCCAAGCAGGGGTGTCCGTAGCAAGGCGAGCTTCTAGCCCTCTTTACCTCAGCCCACACAGGCTGCTGCTCACAGGATGTACAGTCCCAGGCCTATTGTACACACATTAACGTACATTTCAGCAAAAGGCTCATGAGTGGAAAGAGACACAATTCATCTAAACATGCCTCTTCAGGAGGCTCACGAAGAACGTTCCCACTGCTGAGTGTCTGCAGAGTGCTGTTTGGTCCTCAGTGGAGGAAGCACCAATGAGCAGCGCGCACTGTGAGCATCCTGGACCGTCCCAGGAGGAGCGGTGCCTATCAAACACACGGATGTTTCCAGTGTCTGAAGGGTAAGTGGGAGAGCGGATGCTGCAGAGGCAGCTGCAGAGGCTACAGACAGCTCGCTTCCTGGAGGGCAGGTGCTCACTGGCTCGCAACCCAAGGACCTCACTGCATAAACAGGAAAGCTATTCCAGGCAGACCCCACAGCTTCCCCCCTGCCCTGACGGGCTGCTGAGGGAGATGCAGAAACATCCCACTGCTGCCTACAACCTGCACCTTCAACACAACAAACCTGGTTACCACCCTAGCCGTAGCCAGTGGTCCTCAGACGGAGCAGGAAGGAAACCCAGTCAGGCAGGGGGATTCCCATCATTACAGTCGGTGACCACAGCCACACTCTCTACAAAGAGAAGCAGTGCTCCCACGGTCTCGGGCATACTCACAGCATCGGCTTCTGCCTTTTCCCTAGAAACTCTCCCACCCGCGACGACAGATTCTAAGGCGGAGACCCAGCGCTGCTTGTCGGGGAAGCTGGGTGCTAGCAAGTACAGGGTTCTTCCGGGCCAGCAGGTGGTATGCGGGTGAGACTCCATCTTCAGTATGTATGGGACATCTAGAGGATTTCAGAGAGCACAGGATTGGTCTGGATGCCGCCCCATTCTCTCCAACAGGGACAATGCCATGGCATCAGAATCCCACCAAGGCCTGTGACTCGAGTTCCTGCTAAGATGGGGGACTAGACAGAGGTCTTGGCAGAGCAAACTGCCACGCCTCCATCCTGCTCCTCTCCATTTGAAACCCCGCCCACCTCTTGGGCAGGGCTCCTCTGGATCCCACTCACCTGCTTTGGCTGTATTTGCAAGTTCAGAAGCACCAACGGCACCATGAATAGATACGTCCCCGTCAGGAAGGCACAGCTCAAATTCTTCCACCGGCCTCTGTCCAGCTTGATGCAAAGAAGAAGGGTGGAAAGAAAAACAAAAGAACAGGACCAAGAACGAGAGGAGAGAGAGGAGGAGACAGAGAAGAGGGAGAGGAAGACAAGAGAAGAGAAAGGAGGGGATGGGAAGGGAGGACAGCAGAGGTGAGGAGAGCAGAGAGGGGGAGGGGAGCAGAGGAGAGGAGAGGAGAGGAGAGGAGAGGAGAGGAGAGGAGAGGAG